GCCTCCTGTCTTTCTGTTCATTCCACAGTCACCCCTTACACCTGACATAGTGAGATTAATTTGCCATAATGCACAGAATGACCTCAAGCAGATGGGTTTGCAGCAGAGGTCAAAAGCTCCCGTTGAGCTTTGTTACACTGTAAGGTGTAACAGCGGCAGCTCGTCTCTATCTGACACCGGCTGTCGTTCCCCAAATTAAACCCTGCTCTGCTGGCTGGATGTAGGCTGTCCTTGAAGCATGCAGACAGTAGGAGAGTTTCTCCGAGGCAAGCGAAAAGCTCAATAAGAGTCCTCGGTGCTAAGAAGAGCATGCAGACAGGTGTTTGATGTGGTGGTCTGTCAATCTGGTTTCATCTCCCTGTAGTTTTCTTAGCAAAGTGCGAGACCACAGTGTGCTTTCAGTTATCTGCACTCAGAAAAATGCATTTACTTTTTCCAACATCTTCATTTTCATTTTTTTCACTGCAAATTAAAAAAATGTGTACGATCTGCTGTGACCAGATGAAGTTTAAATATCTGTTTGTAGCATGGGATGTTTCAGGAGCTTTTTTTTTTTTATCTTACTTAAGCCCCTTAAACTGGCTCCTCCACTGATCTCTTAGCAAAAGTGCTCCAGCTGAGAAGACTCTTCTCCATCTTGGGCTTTCAGCGAGCACTGCTAATGTACTGTAAATGCTGAGTCTGCATTATGTGTCCAGTGACATCATGCCCTCTCGATAGAGCCTGCTGATCATTGCATCAGTCAGATGACTTGAATTAAGCCGAAGTGTTTGGTTTGTTTGGGGGTGACAATTTCCTGTTTTGGGTATCGTTCCCGAGGAGAGAATAGAACTGAGCCATTTGGCTTCATTACTGTAAATCTTGTGTCGTCTGGTCGCTCAGATTCTGTTCTCTGTCTAATCCATTAACTGCACTTATCTGATTAAGGATGTCTGATGTGGATGATAGTTTCCCCCATTTCCACATGCGTTACATGTAATTGCAGTAATGGTGCAGATTAAGATTGGGTTTACTCCTGGGACCTTTTCTTCTGACAGTTTCACCCAAATAAAAATATACACAAGGATCCAAACAAGAAAACAGCAAACCTTTTTTACTTGAAAAGTTTTTATCCTCATTGCTAAACTAAGCAAGTGAGTCAAATATTTGGTCTCTGTTGTTTGTGTACTAATGCAGCAGTTGAAAACACTATGATATTGCTTCTCTTCAGTCATCTGTTGATTTTCTCTTCACTTCAGTGCTCATGACCACTGCTGTTTCCTGCCTCAAACATCAACAACGCCCATTCAAGGAAGAATCCTTCCTGAGAAATTTTGCACTAGAAAAACAGCAGGCTTGTTTGTCAGAGCTGGATTGTGTGACCTGTATTTATGCTGTGTGCATTATATCAATAAAGTTTTGATTTTATGTTTTCTGGGCCAATACACTGCTCATACTATCCATTACATACACCCAGTAGATGCTGGCACTGTATGACCCTTGTGAGCCATTTGTAAGACTTAAATTGAAATTGCACTGTGAATCTGGTGTGTACTGTTACCGAGCAGTGATGTGAAATAACACTGAGGGGTTATAATAGACAAATACAAGCTTTCTAGAGTGCTGGATATTGCTGAGGCCAAATTCTTAGCCTCACTCAATTATTGATGATAGAAACACTGTCTAATGGTTTCCATTGATTAGGATGCTCAGGTAGACAGTTGTAATAGCAGAATCATGAATGTGTGGATGGAAATGCATGAAATAGCCGCTTGTACACATTTTTTTACACATAATGTTGAACTTAACACTCCTGCCCAGTTGAAACCTACCTATTGAATTTGAAAGGGTATGAAGCTACCACATGAATGTATTTGAGTTTTGCAGATAAAGGAAATATGAGATAGAATTTGTTATACTGATTCTTATTTAACTAAAATTTAGCTTTGATCGTTTTTTAGTTGTTAATGATTTATTTGAAAACGGTGGGGTCTAATGCATTAAGGAACACGATGGCATCACAACCAAAATTATTGCGACTGTGCGCAGTGAACTTGAGGTGTCATCGTGGTTATTTTGAAAACAGGGACCCGGTTTGTGACTACTCACAGTCAGCTGCCATCTTCAAAATGACTTTGCTGCTTTAAGACAGCATTAAAACTGAGTCAGTGGGACGTCGGAGTCCATCTAGAACCTCAAAGATTTGAAACAGAAATTGAGCAGCCTTGGTTCATACCAAGCCTTTGGACATGTTCATATGACCAAAGTTCAGCCAGGTGGCAGCCAGAGGAGTTGAGTCCCCTATTGCTACATTGAATGAGACTACATTTTCTTGCAGACCTTCATCAATCTGCCCGAGTGTGACTGCAGTTAGTTTGAGTCAGACGGCGCTTGTTTTGAGGCTCCCATCTCAGAAGTTGAGGGTGTTTAATGCTCAACCCTTGGGTGACCATCTCCAGCTGCTGAAGTGGAACATGCTAGAGAAAGTTAAAAAACCATCGACCTACATCCCCAATAATCATGTTATGATGATGATTGCAGACTTTTAAGTGTAATTTAAATGTCACAGTGATCACATAGATTCTCTCTATGTATTAGCCAATGGAGATTGACAGACCACGTGACTTTCGCGCATTGCATGCCGG